TTATGCAACTGCATAGGAATTCAGATGTTTAAAATTTCTTCAGAAACCTGTGTGAGACTTAGTTGCATCCATGCAAACCAACATGTTCTTTTTTCATATTTGACCAAGGTTGAACCATGATACAACTATAACTGACCAACCAGAGATAGAATTCTATCAAGACCATTGTTAGATTTGACCATGGTCATCATAATCTAACCTGGTCATGATGACTATTAAACCATGATTGATCATGGTTTGACCATGGTTAACAGTCAGCCTATGTTGGATATTCACTAATAGCAGATCTTTTGTCTTCTAGAAATTTACCTGCTAAGTCACCTGAGGAAGAACAGAAGCACAAACAGCAGTACCAAGAAATGATTGCTTGTGCCAAGAAAAAAGGTAAGAAAATATCAAAAGCTTTCTTTAAACCGTTTAAAATATAGAAATAATACAGTAGTTCAATATTTTGTCTTACTGAGAATCATTTTTACTGCTGAACGTGTTTTAGTAAATTAGCAAATCACACCTCCAATGCAAGGGGTGTACAAGTGTCTCACTATATCATTTGATTGTACTAAAAGTATTTAGATTTAAATTACCCATGTCTGCGAAGTACGTACATGTATCTACCTTTTTTATATAAAATGCACAAGTTATGTTAACTAGACCCTTTTAAGCACAGGCTATATGGTATATGTCACTTCGATCAGCTGACTGATGTAGTCTTAAGGACGGCATATACTTATATACATATACCATGTTTGCACTAATACTGTGGTACATGTTGAATCTCTTTGATGAATGACTAAAGTGCGTCTTTGCTCAAAATAATATTTTACTATAAATGAAATTTATTATGTGTTCAATTTTTATGTGCTCTTCTCATGCAGCAATTACACTACAATGAGAGTTTGTGTCAGAGCACATTTGGGAGTTGCTCTGCCACAAAATATTTCATGTTCATGATAAAAGCTTTTACCATAGTTTACTATTACATTTGAGTGTTTTATGGAGGTATTTATATGGCAGGTTAAATGGTCTGTTTAAGCATGGAGGTATACCTCCATGGTTTAAGGAGTTGTACTCAATAGTTCACAATATAAACTACAGGATTGTAGCTGTAACTTTTTCTGCTTAAAATTGAATTTGTATCTCATTTCATTTGGGAGTGGGATATTAGCAATGTTATTGAACTGCTGCTTTGTGGGACTCTTACAGAGCATTTGAATAAAAAAATAAGACAACACGTGAATAACTGCTTTATACTTCTAGTGTGAAACATTGAGGAAGATTATCTGGCTGCAGTTGATGTCTTTTGCTGTTACTCTCTTTTCTATAGACATATACTCAGTTGACCCATTATTATTTGTAACCATGTCCATTCAATCTAAATTCTGTTTCATAATACCAAATTCTGCTGTAAATTCGCCCATCCGAAAAATCGCCCTGGGCGGTTTCGCGGCTGGTGGGCCCTTATTTGGGGTTAAAATTTTCAAAAAATTATCATCAAATATTTTTAGGGGGCTTATATTTTCATTGAAAAATCCACCTACACCGATTTTCAACGCCGGCAGTTGGACCACCCAAAGCGAAAGAAACTATTATAGTAGCTAATCTAAAATTCTATACATTTTTTTCTTGCTGGATTAAAAAGTAGATAGCGCATCTTTCTCCAAAAAAAATCACATTAACGAACCTCGTGTGCCGAATACAATTATTTTGTTTCATTTTATTAGTAAAGACGTTTCAAATAAAAAAGAAATGCAACTGCATTGCTTAGTAATAGTAGCAAGTGATCGCGGTATCGCAATCCGGTCATGCTGCGTTTTACAATTGTTGATTATTACCTAGTAATGATTATACTAACGTGCAAAAAATAATTTCGATGCTGCAGAAATGAATATCCGCTATGTTTGACGTTAGACTGTGTTCTTTGACCCGACAGGTCAAATCGATAATTAACCAATGAAAACAATGGATGATGCCAATGTGTTCAAAATACCATAGCTCATTTAAATATGTTAATGTTATTGAACGCAACACGGAAGAGATTTGCCGATGTTGTTGTACGATCTTTTGGCTTGGATTTTCATGGAAAAGCGGCATGATTTGTTTTCAAATAAAAAATTTGTTGTTTTCCAAAGATAAACTGAGCATTTGAAATATAATTCAACATTGTTTACAGCGATAACAGCTCATTGTCGAAACGAAGCTAACCCATTCGCGCTAGTTGCAATAAACATCAATACTCTTGAATTGGCGTCAATGACTACTGCGAAACTTTTAGGCATCAGAAAAGAAAAAAACTGCCGAAAAATCACAGGGTGGTTTCTTGGTCCCAATTTATTGTTTTTAAAACCGTTTAATGGCCCCGGGCGAATTTACGGCAGAATCTGGTATCAATGATACCAGAGGTCATCAATAATTTTGCTGATTGTGATGAACATATAAAAAAGAAAAACATTCCTATCTATCCGCACCCTAACCAGAACTTTGACTCTAAGTCTCCAGTCTCAATTCAGTTGTATATTTCCCCCTAACCTCTTACCTCTTACCTTTTATTTATCATCCAACACCATTTTTCACTTTAATACACAAGCCAAGTGTCAGCGAGAAAGTGCCATATGTGTTATTAAGGGTTGGTGTTATCAATTGTAATTTCTAGACAAGACATGTTAGCAAAGTGATCAAGTGACACATTAAACCATTGCAATATACAATTTCATGAAAATTAAAATCTGTTGAATAGTTACATGTAGGTACAGATTTTATGTTAATTTCTATTTTGAGGCTGTTTATCGAAGCAATAGGACGGTAAGGTATACCTATCTCTCTCCAAGTAAATGTCACTTGAGCAGTATAGATTGAAATATCTGAATGGGAGAGAAAAGACTGCATTATCCGCCAGGAAGGCCAGGTCAAACAATATCTTGCAACATACATACATACACATTGTAGCTCACAAGTATTATCAAGGTGTGTGTCTAATGTGCCAATTTTTGAGGCGTGATTCCTGTGTTTGCCCTGAGGCAAAATACCTATGTTTTTATGCTGACAAGGGAAAAACCGACTGGTGTTCATCATTATCAGTGTGACAGGCTTAATACGTAATCTGTAACAGCTGTGGCCGGCCTCATAATTTTAATTTCATTTTTTGACAATGTTCATTCATGTTTTTCATCTGTTGTAATTCTGACAAGCCTTGACATACATATACGTATACAAAGGGAGACAGTCTGTAGGTATTAGTATTTGCTAGACCCTTTTGATCATCCAATTTTTTAAAGATTGTTTAAATAAAATTGTAATAAAATGTTTCTCGCTCAAGTACCTTCTTTAAAAAATTAAATAATTGCAACATCAGATAGCTTACATGTACCTCTGTACCCATGCAGTCAGACATTTTATTTTGAAAATAAACATGTCGTCTAGCTATGTCGTCTAATAATGTGATATATTATTATATTAAACTTGAATCTAACATGCATGTACATCAGTACATGTACTAATTACCAAGTGTAGGGTTACATGTTAAGCATTACAATTAAATAAATGCCTTATTACAATGTAATTAAATTAACCTAGTAGTTCATATAACTGTTGATAACTTTTGTAGATGCACATTCGTCTTTGCTTTATAGAATGTTCTTCTCACAGATTATGTACAGTACTGTAAAATCTGTATTAGTAGCCATGGCTTCTATTAAAATGGTACAATGCAACAGAAGCGATGCGGCTTCTATTAGAACATCTACACAGATGAGAAATGATGAAATGGTTTCTATTAGAGATGCGGCTTCTAATACAGATTTTACATGTTTTAGCCTCACTTACACAACTGTACATGTATGTAGTGTTTTTTTCTCCCTACTCTATCCTTCCTCTCGTTTATTCTTTTCTCCTAACCCTATTCTAGATTACTTGTCTGTTATTTTATTTTTTTATTGTTATGTAGACTACAATTTTAGCGCCTAGTGCTCTAGCATGTGTGACAAAAAGATTGATACATAAATGTGCACTGATGAATGAATGAATGTAGCCACCTGCAGGTCAACTCTTTAAAAAGTCTGTAATGGATGGAGTAACAAAACATCAGACGTTACTATTAGGCACGTCCGGTGTACTCAGAAAATTCCTTTTCAAATCCTAAGGTATGAAAGACATTTAGTAAAAATATTCAGCACTCTAAGGACAGGCTTGTATTCAACAGTAATGTACCATGATGTAAACATTACATCATGTTGTCATGGAGACTGATATTAAGTGCCGTAGAAGCTGTGAGAAAGTGGGGAGTTTTATTGTCACAGTAAATTGAATTTCAGTTATTAGATAATATGGCAATGTTCACGATCTGATCTGTGTACATATCCTCGCATAATAATGAACACTCTTTGCATAATTATCAATGTCACCATTTCCAAAAGATACTTGTAAATCTTGGTAACAAGTACGATCTTCCAAGGGTGTATATTAAAGAAAAAGTGTTGTTCCCACTAATAACTCAAGAACCATTTGCTTGATTCAAATAATCCGATTTTTGTGTAAATTCTTGCATATTAATGAGTACATTTACATATTCCCCTGATCTCTTGGCAACAAGTGGTTCAAGTACATGTATGATCTCTAGAACTCATTGAAGCATCTATGTCATTTTCAGCCCCAGATGCATTGAAGCATCAGTATCAGATAATGTTTCAGTAGACCACAAATTATAAAATGATCTTCAATCCAGTGTTATGAGTACAAATTATGAAATCAACACATATATTGTTAATCTCGTAATGTACATTTTCTAGGAAGACTTAATTTAAATAAAGTGCCATCACTTGTCTGTCAAGAGTGCTCGTCGCCTACAAAGTAGCAACTGAGCGATATAAAAATAACTCATTACAAGCTACACTGAAAAAAACAAGACAAAGTGTTTAACTGCTTCACTTTAATTAGATAATGTCTTCTTAAAGTACTCTTAAGGGAGACTGCGACTATTTGTAGGTATAGATAATATAGGCACATGATTCGTGGCTGCAATGAGTATGTGTGTGTGTGTGTGTGTGTGTGTGTGCAAGTTTTGGCAAGCTTTTTATACATTGTATGCCCTTGAGTGCAAGTTCTCAAAATACAATGGACAATGGAAATTGCATTCAGGCAGCTTTCCTCTGACAAGATTATCAACCAATTATTGAATTGAAGTCTGCCTACCTAGTCATGTAACATGAGTTGTCATTGATTGCTACCAGACTTGAACCCAATTTGCATACACATTTTGTCAATTTGTAGTATTGAGTCATTGTCAGTTGTAAATTAATAATGTTTAAGGATGAGCAACATACCTGATTTTATTTTTTGGTTTCCAAATCAGTGTGTATCAGTTATTATAAAATAGATTCCCAAAATAAGTATGTACCATACTTGCTGTATTAGAAGCACATCTTTCAATTTCAATAGAAACGTACATGCACCAAATATTGCCTGTGTTGTATGCTGGATCATTAAAACCCATGCCCTACTAATAGAGCAAATACAATTTATTATTATTATTATTATTTTTTACCTTGGCCGTACCATCAAAGATGGAAGGGAAAGGTATATTAAGGGAAAAATTTTGTCCGGCGTTGTCGTTGTTGTCGTTGTCGTTGTTGCCGTTGTCGTTGTCGTCGTCGTCGTCGTTGTCGTTGTTAATAATTGTTATTGTGTGCATAATAACTTTACTAATTCTATTCCAAACTTTATCAAACTTGGTCACCTTATTCATCAGTATAAAGTCTTCCCTGAGTTTGAACAACAGATGTCCTGTATGAAAATATCATGCAAAAATTGAGAAAATCTGATAAAATATTTTGACTGTTTCTACTTGACTGATCACTGGTGATACACATCAAAGGTCACTGATCTCAGTGGAAATATGCATTGTTGTATGTGTTCAATGAAGCAAATGATTTATCTTGTAATAATATCCTTGGTAATGTATCTCAGAATCCCATACTGGGTTTCAAAACCAACTCATGGCGAGATTGCACAGTCTGATACACATTTGCAAACCTACCAATAAAATCTTTACAGAAAACAAGATGTCAGAAAATCAATATAAGCACTCCTATGAACTGGGTGCCTAACTTTGATCAAGATCTGAAGCTAATAGAAAATCTGTTTAGTTCAAAGTTATCAAATCAAAAACAATACATAAAAAATACATTAAAAAGAAAATTATTCTAAAATATTTGTATTCTGTATTTGACAAACAGTTCATTCGACAAATGAAAACTCACAGAAA